ATATATATTTAAACACATAAAAACAGCAACAGTGAAATACAAAAAATTATATCAGCCTTCTTCATTACTGCCTAACTTAAATGTGGCCTATAATGGTTAAAAGCTTCCCCACTTCTGAGTTAGTCCAACAAAAAGGACTACTTGGATCCAATCAAAGTGAGTCCCTTCATTAAGAGAGATCAGTCATACCCGATCAGACCAGTTCTGGCGAAGACTTTCGGTTAGAAAAATGTCTAAACAATCATGAGAACGGGCAAGTAAAAGTCTGGTGAAACGGTAGCGACTAAAACAAATAGAAAGGAATTGCGTAAGAGAGTAAAAGAAGCGTGTACGAAGGGTCATGTTAAAAGCGAGCCAAGAAAAACGAGAGATGAAAGTGGATGTATACAAAGATGAGAGACACATAGACGAGTGTCTCGTCCGTGAAGAGTTCCTTCGGGCTAACTTTCACTAACAATTTCGCCGTCTGTGACACATATTCCATCGTCGAAGTAGTGGGGACGGTCAGGCTGAGGCTGTAGCTGATACATTGTCATCGTGGTCCCAGACGAAAGCACTGGGGAGGAAAAAAAGCTTGCGAAATCCAACCGGAGATAGAAAGGGGATGGGAGGGGGTTACGGTCAGTTCTAGCAACGAAATTTCGGGCAAAACTGTTCGTCAGTCGTTCACGGGACCGCGACGGACTCTGTCTCGCCTATCCCACGATTACTATCATCGTGGACAATCGGTATAAATTTGTGCAGTGATCAAAAAACATCATCCATCTTGTCATCTTCGTTTCATAAGATTCAATCGCCCCTTTCGATGTGTCGATGATGGAAATCATTAGGCAGTATTAGTATTAGTGCTATTTTCTCTATCAATGGAAACGTACAGTTTGCTTTTCGCTGTTTCGCTTGGATCAGCGATATGGAGCGGACGTTACGCAAGTTATAACCTACGCGGTACACGCGAACCGAATTTTCCAACACTGGCCACCGCCGCCATGATTGCCGGCTGTTGTTACCTAATTGAACACCGGACTTTCATTTAGTAGTCAAAAGGGAGTCAGTAGACGATTTAACATCACGTATGACAAAACTGTGTCCAGTATGATATTCTGAGGAGGAAACGGATTACGAAATTGCTTTGATAAGTCTTATCTACCAGAGGCAGACTTAAGAGAACTTCCTTGTATAATCGGACATGTTCAAAGCATTATGCAATTGCTATGACGTAAATTATAGCTCGTTTCTATTGGGTTGGGAAATAAGTTCGTACCGTTTTTACCGAAGACTTTTATTTAAACAAAAAACAATAATTATATCAATAAGTTAATCAATTATAGAATCGTTTTATGATCGCAGTTCATTTTTTCCGCCAATTCACGACTGGTTTGGCGACCGTTCTCCTTCAAAAGTGATTTGAGACGTTCTTCATCGAATTCAGAAGGCCTTCCGCTGCGGGACGAGTCCTCGACGTTAAAGTCGCCATTTTTTAACTTTGCAAACCATTTCCGTGCTGTAGACTCGCCTATGACACCTTCTCCATACACGTCGCAAATGTCCCGGGCTGCTTCGGCAGCTTTTTGACCTCGATGAAAAGCAAAGAAGAGCAGGTGTCGAAAATGTTGATTTTTGCCTCCTGGGTATTCCATTTCTAAGCCTGAAAACTAATAAAAAATTAAATAACTCAAAAATACAATTAACATAGTTTTGTAGAGCAGAAAGAGTTCTATCGAATGAATACTTACCCGTTGCCAAACAGCAAACAAATCGTTGTAAAATAAAAGAAATTATAAAAACGCTATGAACTTATTCCCTAACCTAATACATCTCGGAGATAGTATTAGTAATTTTGAAGAAGTCCGGTTGGGGGTTTCCGTCATCGGACCTTCGATGACCGATCTGCAAACGGCGCGTGGCCAAGTGAAAAAAAAAAGCAAAACGGCAGAAAGAGAAAGGAAAGGGAGAGAAAGAAAATTCGGCTGGCTCAGTCGTTCACGGGAAAGCGTCTAACAGCGTTCACGACTCCTACGTCTGTCGGGTTCAGGTTTAACTCAGGATCACTAATTTAACACGCTTGCTAAAAAAAACTCTTTCCGTTGGTGAAACCGGCTTGCTTAGTGCTCACTTACAGTGAAACCGAATGAAAATTACTGGTTACGTACATCTCTTCTTGTATTCCTCAGTGAAACCAGGCATGGCTTTGTTCGTTGGTCAAATAAAAATAGTTGCATGCCTCGACAAATTGTTACCTTAGCGAGAGTAGTAAATAGCCTGCAGACTTTATGCATTTACTATGAAATGTATCTAAAAAAATGGCGGAAGTGTAGAAAGAGTCAACAACAAAAATGCACAGAGTTTAAAGGATTTTGCATAAAAGTCTGCAGTCTAATGAGGATAACTTTGTTTGAAAAGTGTTAGAAATCGAATGTTATCTGCATGTCGATATACGTATGAGGAGGAAATTTTTCTGCTTGACGTGGGAGTGTATTATCACAAGATGATGCAAGTTTTACATAACAGTATCACATAATGATCCAATTTAATCGGGTCTGCGAGCACGATTAGAAGATGGCCTTGATCCATTGTGTCCCCGAGACATTATTCAACGTCCTTGCCTACTTAGAGACTTTCTCCTTAGGGGATTCCCTGTAGGAACTCATTAAAATTATGTCATTGTCGTTGTTGGAAGAAAAATTGGGTAGTTGGGAAAGTCTCTGTGGAGAGCGATCTAATTTTATGCATGATGTAAAAACATAAGGTGTGTTCAAATGTGTCGCTGTTTGCGCCTTCCACTCATCGGCCATATTGGAAGTACGATGATCTATTGTTTATTTCAAACGCGCATATATATTACTCTCCGAGAACCTAATTTTTCACATGTTTACGATTTTTAAATTCGCTCTGTTTTAACACTAGAAAGACTGAAACTTAGTATATACCTATATTGCCCAAAGCGGTCGACGTTCATATCGACGAGTACATCGTTTTCATCGATGGCTACTTGCTGTTTTCTCATCATGCGTTTCGAAGAAAAGAAAACTAGACGAAACGCACGATTTCACGTAGACGTTTGCTCATCCATCGACACACGATGGAAGTCAAACAGCATGCAACTTTCATCTTCGCAAGGATCACTACTCCTGTTGCTTATTTTTATTCCGCTAGGCTAGCTTTCACTGCGAACAGAGTTCTATCAGGCCTCGCCCATTTGAAAATACCCGCGGTTTCCTTCTTATTCATTCCCGCTCTTAACGATTGTGTTGATTAGAGAAATATATCTGAACTGCGACCCTCGGAGGTCTGAGCAACCGAGCCGTTGCTCACGAGACTCTCTGGGACCGTCGATGTTCGCGGGAATGCAGTCACCTGCTGTTATCGTTGTATAACAAACCGGGTCGACGATGCGAACCACGAAGAGCACCGACCACGCTATGCTGCTGGCTACCTACGGCCTACGTTTGCTCGTAGTCGTCCTCGTGATCGCGGCCGCGGCCACGTTTCTCCACGTGAACAATTACAGGCCCAGTAAGTCAATAAAAAAAAACAACTGTGGCTGGAAAGCAAAATGGGATAAGACTTGCGATTTTTTCATTTATTAACTGGAGTCGATCGGAGAGAAGGATTCGTCTGACTTTTATTACATGTTCACCTTGGCGTTTCTTTGTTTCTTTTTCCAGAACAAATATTCCTCTCCTGCGACAGGCCGTGCCATCACCTGGACTGGCCCATGATCTGCCGGGTGAAGCTCACTTTAGAAGTGTTCCAATCGCTCAGCAAGTAAGACAATTATTGACCAATCTCTTATTTCATTCGAACGATTTTCGTTGCTCGGTGAAACGCCTTTCCACGTGATTATTGCTTCATACTTGGTTAAGGACGTTAGTCCCAAAATCAATTTTCTATAGAATGTTTTGAAATTTTGCATGAGTATTCAATAGAGCATCACAAATATATGTGTAAAATCTTAGAGAGATCTGATGATTCGGAGAGTAGCAATAAATTATCGAATTCGCAACTTTACCATGTGAAAACGAGAAAAGGCCAGTAAAATGATGGATTTCACTAATTTAAGGAAAAACGGTTCTATAGATATTTTCAAAAAACTGACACATGCTAAATTAACTTATTACAATTGTATTAAAAAAAAAATCAGAAAATTTTGATGATTCGTTTAGTAGAAATTCTTAAATGAAGTATGGTATTTTTGTACAACGCGTTCTTGAGGACGGCGAGGGAGGGGATAGTGTAGCCAATAGCGGCAACGGCTCTTCTGTGTAAGCTTGTGTAAGTGCGTATGTATACGCTGTGCGATGTATTAGAGGGCCAAAGATTCTCAACCATTTGTTTCTATTTAATATGTGTACCACTACGTGGCAACACTTGAAATGATTGAGACCAACTGAGCGGGACTAACGTCCTTAATAACGTCCGTGGGGACTGCCGGCCGTGTGGCCCGTTGCAGTAACTGTTATGCAATTCTTCGAGCACCGAAACCCGGAAGGCTTTTAGCCGAGTCGTGTTATTCGATCGCGCGTTCACGCTTCGTGTACGATACGAAATTACTGTTTGAACGATCATTCTATGCGTAGATCGTGCGGCGACTGTCCGCAGAATGAGACAGCGTGTTTCGCAGATCACTGCGTGTCGACGGATGGACATCGACGCGGGATACTCACGGCAAATCGTCAGCTACCTGGTCCAACCATTCAGGTACCATCAGTAAAAATTCTGGCAGAGAGAGAGAGAGATAGATGAATCCTGAATAAAAAAAATAGAGAACATTTCTATCCCTTACTCAATACTATTGGGTTGGGGAATAAGTTCGTAGCGTTCTTACCGAAGACTTTTATTTAAACAAAAAACAATAATTATATCAATAAGTTAATCAATTATAGAATCGTTTTATGATCGCAGTTCATTTTTTCCGCCAATTCACGACTGGTTTGGCGACCGTTCTCCTTCAAAAGTGATTTGAGACGTTCTTCATCGAATTCAGAAGGCCTTCCGCTGCGGGACGAGTCCTCGACGTTAAAGTCGCCATTTTTTAACTTTGCAAACCATTTCCGTGCTGTAGACTCGCCTATGACACCTTCTCCATACACGTCGCAAATGTCCCGGGCTGCTTCGGCAGCTTTTTGACCTCGATGAAAAGCAAAGAAGAGCAGGTGTCGAAAATGTTGATTTTTGCCTCCTGGGTATTCCATTTCTAAGCCTGAAAACTAATAAAAAATTAAATAACTCAAAAATACAATTAACATAGTTTTGTAGAGCAGAAAGAGTTCTATCGAATGAATACTTACCCGTTGCCAAACAGCAAACAAATCGTTGTAAAATAAAAGAAATTATAAAAACGCTATGAACTTATTCCCCAACCTAATATATTCATTTATCATGGTTACATAACGCGTTGCAGAACAGAGTCTGTATAAGAAGGTATACTTATTTTCCACTTATTGCACCCTGGGTGGAAGTTAATCATGCCGGACCTCTTATATCCCTCGGTAATGCGTTCCTTACGCGTACAACTCTCGCGACACCAGCGAGAAGAGCCAAGCGTTCCCGAACAGGTTTCTTTTCAACGTTTCAGGTCTGCGAAAACGACATTTTAGTGGTGGACGTAATTAACCGGCTTCCGGGTAAGGCAGCGGCCGTGCACTGGCGCGGTCAGACCCAAGTCGAGACGCCGTTTATGGACGGCTCCCCCCTGGTCACCCAATGCCCGATACCCAGCTACACCACTTTCCAGTACAAGTTCCGTGCCTCCACCGCTGGCACCCATCTGTGGCATGCCCACGCGGGTAATTCAATAAATATAAACGCAATACTTATGTCGAGCTTCAGACGTTGTGTCATGAATCATCAGATGACAGACTGACATCTGTAGGCAGATTGATGGATGATGATTTTTGTTAATTAAGGAGCGGACGTTGGAAATGGAATCTTTGGTGCGTTAGTCGTGAAGCAGGCGGACATAAAAGACCCCCATCGAGCTCTGTACGACATCGACGACTCGAACCACGTGGTGTTGATCAGTCAGTGGCAGCACTCGCCAGAAATTGCGTTCACTCAAGGTCACGCTAAACCAGCGATCCTTTTGGTGAACGGGAAAGGACGTCAGCCGAACGGACCGAACGTTCCATCAACGGTGTTCCAGGTGGTCCCAGGAAGACGTCATCGGTTCCGAGTTGCGAACGCCGGAGGCGCTGGATCGTGTCCAGTGACCTTTTCCATAGATGCCCATCCGCTTCTGATAATTGCGCTTGATGGCCAGCCAGTGGAACCGCAGCAAGCCATATCGATCACTCTGGCTAAAGGTGAGTAAAAACCACCGTAAAATAGAAAATGAATTCTCTAAAGGAAGTTCGTTTGTCAAATGTGTTATCATCGATCGTAGGAGAGCGGGTGGACTTCGTTTTAAAGGCGAACAAGCGACTGGCCTCTTATTGGATGAACGTGCACACGTCTAAAGAATGCGGGAAGAATTCGATAAACGGTGCGGCGATTATAAACTACAAAGGCAGCTCGAAGGATCCTCTGTCACCCGCGGAAGCTAACGACCAACCGGAAGTCGAGGAGACCGTCGGACGAGTCGCGATGACGACCAATCCTACTGAAAAATGCGGAAATCCTGAAACCCTTTGCGTGACGGAAATGCAGTCGTTAAGAAAAATGCCATCGACTCTGGGAACGATGAAGACCGACGTAACCATTCGGCTGCCCATTAATTACAGGCTGCAGACGAACGACATCGTAGGTAAGCGACAGATCGAAATTAATACTTCCTTCGAACCTTTTTCCTATTTTTTTTTTTACATGTCAACGTGCCACGAAATTATAATAATTATAAAAACAAGATGGACGCATAATTGTAATGCGTCGAACGGACGATGACAGGAAGACTGATCGTTAGTACGAAAGATGTACTTAAAGGAATAGTAGCTATCAATCCTTCAGCAAAGTCTGACCTTGTAGGTCTTATATCACTTTCATCCGGAGGCTTCTGCTGTCTCTGTTGAAATGATAATTGTATTAGAAACGCGTGTTCAGAGATAGCCGAGGAAAGTGATTTATCTTACAGATGCATGACTGGTCATTTCTACCGGACGTGCACGCGATTGTAGATTGGACATGACGTAGGTTTTAATCACGTCTCGTGTCCCGAGGCACAATTATCGTATACAACGTTCGTGAGGAGATAATTGGAGAAGAAACTTCGACAGACCATCTCCTTATATCAGCTCACGACGTTTATGATGTATCTTCTATAGTTTTTTGATAAGGACGAAAGGTGAAATAGAGCAGATGTTGCAATTGAATCTTTTTGCCTCCTGGAACTTTCATTATGAAAGCCTGGAAATTGATTGAAATTAATTAACACGAATGTCAGAGCCTACGTTTCAAGAAATGGAAGCCACCATCTTAAAAATCAAACTTTATTAAGGACGTTAGTCCCAAAATCAATTTTCTATAGAATGTTTTGAAATTTTGCATAAGTATTCAATAGAGCATGACAAATATATGTGTAAAATCTTAGAGAGATCTGATGATTCGGAGAGTAGCAATAAATTATCGAATTCGCAACTTTACCATGTGAAAACGAGAAAAGGCCAGTAAAATGATGGATTTCACTAATTTAAGGAAAAACGGTTCTATAGATATTTTCAAAAAACTGACACATGCTAAATTAACTTATTACAATTGTATTAAAAAGAAAAAATCAGAAAATTTTGATGATTCGTTTAGTAGAAATTCTTAGTTGAAGTATGGTATTTTTGTACAACGCGTTCTTGAGGACGGCGAGGGAGGGGATAGTGTAGCCAATAGCGGCAACGGCTCTTCTGTGTAAGCTTGTGTAAGTGCGTATGTATATGCTGTGTGATGTATTAGAGGGCCAAAGATTCTCAACCATTTGTTTCTATTTAATATGTGTACCACTACGTGGCAACACTTGAAATGATTGAGACCAACTGAGCGGGACTAACGTCCTTAAAACGATTCAGCGAAGGTGCAAAAATGGCGATGTGTCCTTTGGAGAGGAGTTGACCTTTGTCCTTTTGAGAACACGTCCTATCCCATGACTTCATCAACTAAGGGGATCATTTATTTCGTTATCGGTCTTTGAATAAACTGTTCGGGTTTCAAAGGTCTGGGTGTCTAGCCTTCCTAATTGCACCTATCAGGCATGGGCAAAAGTGTCTCTTAAGAGACATGGCCTTGAGGGCGAGCTAAGCTAGGGATGCTTGACACTATGTAATGTACAGGCACATATCTACAATTACAAATAGTAGGGAGAGTGACTAGTGTGAGGAAAAATGAATTGCCCATGTCTGACCTAGATCCTGTTCCTCTTACATGAAAAATTGAAGTAGATAGGTCCTCAAACCGACGTCATTATCCTCATAGCAAACTCATAATCGTCCTGATAGTCCTTATCGTCGTACTTATTGATGAACAATATATCGACTGATGAATTAATACTATTCCTCATTGTAACCAGCGATTAACATTGTTCGCAAATTAGATAGATCAAAAAAAGGATTTGCGAATGCATATATATACCTTATCTGATAAAACATAAAACTGTAGGAAAAGAATGATATACAAAAAATGTGGGAATTTATTACATAACTAATTACATAATTTTTTAATACTAAAATACTTTTCGTTTCAGGGAACGGTGGAGTGGAAACGAGAGTCCTAAACGTGAACAACGTTTCTTTTACGTATCCGTCGTCGCCATTGCTGACGCAGGGGAAGGACGTGATCGAAGAAACCCTGTGCTCCACCACCCCTGAGGAGGACGAAGCTAGAGTCGAGAACAACGAGACAGCGTCGTTGTCGTCGCGACGCTGCCGCCGCGACGTCGTTTCATCATCGAATACGTGCGAGTGCGTTCACGTAAGGTACATTCCGCTTGGAGCCACCGTCGAGATCATCCTCCTCGATCAAGGTAATTCAGACTTATACAAATAAATCTAGGAATCTAGATTAAACCTTTTACTACCAATTTTAGTTTTTTATGGAATATTTTTTTTTCTTTGCAATTACTGGAGCTAAGCTTTCACTTAGTACCTGATTTCAAAATCTACATTATACTTTGTTCGAGGATCAATAAAGCTCGTAAATCAGTGGGACATGGACTCTGGGGACTTAACACTAAATCGTGTCTTTTGAAATCTTTAAATAAATGTTAAATGGATTGCTTTGAACTTGAACTTTCTCTATTGAATTGCATGAGGAAGTGAAAGTCTGAATACTTAGAAGTCTTTCAAGGAACAAGCTTAATGGACAATCCGATCACCATAATCAGACAATTAATTATCAGCTATAGATTAATCATTAAATGAGAAACCAAGGTTGTTAACAAATCCTCGTGCTTAACTCAGATGTTTTTCTGTTTTATGCAAATGTCCTCTTTCATCTTGAATATCATATGCATAGGCTTGCAGGTATTCAGAGTCGTTGCTTATTCATAAGATCGTCTTTTACTTAAGTAGCTTTATTAGTGTGACCGCTTAATTTTTATTTAGGTCATTTTTGGGAATTTTTTTTAAGAAAAGTATTCTATGGAATTTTCTTAAACTTTGTGGATGTATTTGTCTATAAGTGAACTGTGTAAAATAATTTTTTCGTACAAAAATAACTAAAGGCTACCAAGTTATGCGCTATTTTCCAAAACGCAAAAAGAAAAGGGTCTCAACTGCTCATACAGTTCGCTGGGATGCCTGAAATGAAAAAATACAAAACCACTCTTAAACTAGAAGGTATTCTCCATCCGATGACGTAGAATATCTGAGAAATGTTGAAATCTGACAAAATGGCGGGGTTTTTAAGAAATTTTGCGATTGTTTCCTAAAAAATCTTTAAAAAAGTCGTTTTTTCGTTGCCAAAATTACAGTTTTCATCCAATCAAGAATATCCTACGTCAGTCAACAATAAAGCATGTCTGGAACACTCTGTTAAAATTTCAAGTCAATCGGATAATTGGTAGTTTAAAGTATTAACTATTACATTATTACTTATATTATATTAATACTATTAGAAGACTGCCACTCGAAAACTAGTTGAGATCCGACCTCGAAATTAAAAAATTCGATTTTTTTAAAGTTTCACACTGATAAGGTCCCTTAAGTTCCTGTTTCCTGTACAAAACAGGGACTAGAAATATGGAATAGATAGGGATAGCAAATGCTAAAGACGATCTTCATAATAAGCAACGACTCTGAATACCAGCAACAGAAGAGACAAGCTTCTATAGGGACCTCTGCAAGTGAAAACGTCCTGCGATAGAAAGAGAGAGAGAGAGAGAGAGAGAGAGAGAGAGTTGCAGTAGCAGCAGCTTGACAAGGAAATTAGACACGTGACGTCAGGGACATCAGACAAGGACAGACAGAGCCACCGATCTCTCTCTCTCTCTCTTTCTCTCTCTCTCTAACATAAGAGACACTTTTTGACGCTTTTCACCTCCTCTATGTGTATTCGTATGATCATATGTCGACTGTTTCTTATTATATTCTGAACGTATAATCCAACAGTGTCCCACTAGTAAGGAAGAATGATCTCATGATAGTGGAAGGGTTAAATCAAATTCCTGTGGTAGTGGAAGGGTTAAAGAAAAAAGTACACCTGGAGGGTGTTGAGAGTCTTTTAAATTTTAATTTTAGTATAAATTTCGAATGGTTTCGCGGATGTATCCGTAATTAGCATTAGGTTGGCGAGTTTTCAATCTTACAAGTTTTTATTTCTGGCAGATTTTGCATTTTCTAATAAGTTACCTCGTATGAAGCTTCGATCAAATCGAATCGAGAGATTAGATTGGCAATTACCGAGGTAATAAATACACCCGTTTCAATATGCAACAAGCGAACCCTACTGCGTCGTCGAAGGCCACGTGATTGACGATTCAAACGTCCCTGATGAATTTCTGCGTACGGTATTACCCCTGGACATACAGGATGTCCCAGAAGAAGTGTTAGAGCCAGTGAGGGTAGAGCCGAGAGGTAATTCTGTAGGTGTTTTTGAACAACGATTGCCTCTAGCAAAATGCAAAGTGAAGTATGGTTTTTGAATTATTAGCGAAAAACAGTGACCAATGGGAGCACGTGTAGGGCCCGCGCTCAGCCACGGGAGTGGGGGCTCGACCAGGGGTCTCAGAATTTATCCCGCACGGCTCGCTTCCCCTCTTTTTCGCCCGTATTTCGATCCCCACTACTATTCTCCTCATGCGCCTTCGTGAAGCGAACCTATCAAGTACCAGTCCCCACCATGGCCGCGTCGTCCCCACTTTCCGGCCGAGGGATAAATTCTGAGACCCCTGGGCTCGACTCGTGACGCTCGGCAGTAGTTCAGCGCAGGGTTCTCGTAATTTATCCCACGAGGCTCGCTTCCCCTGTTTTTCGCCCGTATTTCAATCCCCACTACTATTCCCCTCATGCGTGCTCATGCGCGTTCGCGAAGCTCTCCGCAGCGCTATCGTGAAAATCACTGCATACCCCCACCAACTATTGGTCCCCACCATGGTCGCGTCGTCCCCACTTTCCGGCCGTGGGATAAATTACGAGAGCCCTGGCTCAGCGGGCCCGCGGTCAGTCATGGGAGTGGGGGCTCGGCTCGCGACGCTCGGGAGTGGGGGTTCGGTTCGTGACGCTCGGTAGGAACTCAGCGGGCCCGCGTTGAGTCACAGTCAGTGGGGGCTCGGCTCGTGACGCTCAGCAATGGCTGAGCGCGGGCCCTACGCGTGCTCCCATTGGTCACTGTTTTTCGCTAACTCAAAAACCATGCTTCACATTGCATTTTATTATAGGCAATCGTTGTTCAGAAACACTTCCAGAATTACTCCTCTTCAGCTTTAACACTTTTCTTGGAACATCTTGTACATTCATCGATCGTTTCAATGAATGCAATTCCACTTCAATGCGAGGATTAACTGTAGTGAAAAATTGAATAAAACTAGAGCAAATATTTATATCTCTCATGTAGCTTATATGTTTTTTTATGTATCATCATTGTTGGTTTTATTTAATTATTTATTAAATACTTTTCTGTGAACATTTCGTTGGCAATTGGGGGAGGTTTCTAAGATATATAGTAGGTATAAACTGGAGTGTGGCCTCGAGTTAAGAGCCTTGATTCTTAGCTGCGGAGGCTGGAAATATCGACCTCGCGACTATTCCTAAGTACCAAAGGCGACTATTTTTTACCGAGAAACGCGGTTTCTTAATTAATTAGAATTAATTAACTTGCGTTATCGGGTTTCTCTTCTAATATCCAAGAATCTCGATACTCATCACCGTTCTTAATCATTTCATATGCTAATAATAGCATATGTGGAATTATTTAGGTGATGCATAATTATCCGCCATTTTCTAAACAAATTTATTTATTATGAAAAGAGATACATAAAAATTGAATACATAGAAATGTTTAAATAATTATTCTGGAGTATATTCATCCTCGATTTTAATAACTGTCTTGTCACGTTTTCGTCCTTTTCTATGGCTGCCATAAGTGCCTAAATGTCCAATGGCTGAAGAGTTCTTTGAGATCGTTTCCATTCCATTTCATGTTTTCCAATCTTATTCTGCTTTCCATTTTTTCTACGTAATGACAAAGCATGAACATGATTTTGTTCATATGATGTATTTTCATCAACTAAATATGGAAGAATTTTTTATTAAATAAAAGTAACCTAAAAACAACAGATAATTATGCATAAAGCCATTACTAATATTTGTGACTACGTCATCTAATAAAAATGTCGTGTCTCCTTTGCTTAAGGTGGTCTGGACGATTTAGTTTACCACCTGCATGGGTACAGCTTCTACGTGGTGGGAGCTCGAAGATTCGGGCGCAGCGTGTCACTGCGGGAACTGAAGAGCCTTGATGACAAGGGTCAATTATTCATCCGGAATTTGGACTGCACGGTTGCCAAGGACACGGTGGTCGTGCCGAAATACGGTGCAGTCGCCATCAGATTCAAAGCTGACAACCCAGGTACAAATAGCTCATAGGATTCCAGACTGACTTCTCACATATACATAACAAAATGGAACATATTCTCTCTCTCTCTCTCTCTATCTTTACTGCTTACTGTGAGTGGCGTAATTAGTTGGAGCTATTTTATATGTGTGCGTGTGAAGTTGGTCCGGAATCTCTTGAGTCATCCATAATGCTTTAAGGTATCTAAGGCAATGTTCA